TATTAATGGGAGCTGTCCATGGTGTCAGGGAATCCAGAAAAGAGGCCCCCTTCCTCTTGCCAGTGCCCACTCTTCAGATCTTCCTTTTCGCTGCCTCCTCCAGCCCAGGCTCCCTGTGCCAGTCAGGCCGGGAGAGGCTGGAGAGACTGCTGCTCAGCACAAAGTCCAAGGCTGAGGGTGTGGCTCACTTAACCCTTTGCAGGCCTGTGACGCTCAGTCTCCCTCTAGGGAGGAAAGGATATCTGGTTGGCTTTAGCTGAGGGGCTCAAGTAGAAGAGTTCTTGCTCCACTGTCCCCAAAATTTGGAAATGAGAGTAGAAGGAATGGAATTTTTAGCCAAAGAAAAGTTTTTCCAAGAAGTGAGGAACTCTGCCATGGAGGAAAGCAAGCTGGGATATCCCCCTAGCAGAGACAGTACCTCCCTCAAACCTGTATTTCCTATTTTGGGGGGAGTTGAGGTTTGGGTTTTTGTTTGCTTTTTTAGAGGTATTAATGAAATTACCTGGGGAGCTAAGCAGAAAAAAAAAATCCCAAATTCCTCTCTTAAATTCCCCTGTGAATTAGGCCTCATCACAAAGACTTAGAGATTGATAGTAATACTTTATATTTGTATGGACACCCCAGGTTCGCTGAACCCCCACCTGTATCATCTCACTGACTAGCCCACACTGAAGGACAAGCAATGCTGACACTTCATTCTAAAGGGAAATTAAACCAAACATCAGGCTCAGAGATAACACAGTGTGTGCTTTGATCCAAGCTAGCATATGCCAGAAGCAGGAACACAGTGCAGCTTCCTGACCCTAAGTCTGCCATAGGTCTCAGCCCAAGTTCTGATGTTTCTAATTTTAATCCTTCTTCAGCACCAGGATATTAAGTAAGACCCTGAAATGCTGTTTCCTGGGAATTAGCCCAGTAGAAAATGGCTCCCTCTGACAGATAAAAAGCTTATCAAACCCAATTTTCCAAGTACCCTCTTATCTGCCCAGGAAAATTCCTAAACAGCAGGTTCCTCTGCCTACCAGCTTCTCTTCTAGGCATGTACAAGAAGCAGATTAGGCAATTACAGGCACTTAACTAAAGATAGAGACTTGATTCTCCAACTCCCAGCCACAGCTGCTTAGTCCAGGGTCCGAGCTCTTGCTCTGCAGAAGCACTCTGCATAAGCCTGGCCCATCAGCAGTCCATTATTAACTGGCCCTTACATAATTTATTGATTTGGTGGGCGAAAAAAATGTAAGGAAGAGAAAGAGAAAGCTGAGTGGAAGTGACATCAAAACACAATCCCATGTATGGGTGGGGTAAACAGTGCCCATTGTCCAGTGCTGGAATGAGGACAACAGTTCTATACAGCCACAACATTGCAAGCCTGGCAGAGTTAGTACAAGAAGCCAGGTCTCATGTTATCAGCAGGAATTTGCAGCATTTGGGGTTTATCTTTATGTCTACCCATTCCCTCAAGGTCTACTGCATGCTTCCAGGACAAATTGAATCTAAGGGAGATGGCAGCCTTAGGCTTTAAACATCACAGCTTTAACACCCAGCCATGCTAGTCTGCCTTGGCCTGTGATGGGTTCCCAGCTGCTAGGAGGTCTAAATCTGAGTGCTACAACCAAGCAAGTTAAAATGGAATAGCTCCTGATTTCTAGACAAAACTGAAGCAACTGGAGCTTGTTATTTCTCTACTGTCTGACTCCAAAATCTCTTTCCTTTGTACAGTCTGGGCTTTAATGTATCTCAGTGGAGGGATATTTGCCTAGAATGTGTGAGGTGCTGGTCTAGTCCATTTAATGGTAAGGGAACTTCTGAAAATGTTCTAGATTACAATGGAGGGGTCTATACACCTGTTGAAACTACTTAAAACTAGTAAATTTTTATTGTGTACAGCATACTCCAATAAAGCTGACCAAAAAAAATAATGAAGAGGAAACAATTCCAAATCTTTTGGTGTTTTCTCATAAAAGCTGGGAGGGCAACAATCTGATTAAACCAGTTCATTCAATAACCCTCATGAGACATTAACTTCTTTAAAAATACTACACAATAAAAATAGTTTTCAGAGCCAGGCGTGGTGGCACACGTCTGTAATCCCAGCACTCGGGAGGCTGAGGCAGGAGGATCGCTGCGAGTTCAAGACCAGCCTGGGCTACACAGTGAGTTCCAGGTCAGTCTCAACTTCAAAGTGAGACCCTGTCTCAAAAAACAAACAAACAAAAAATGTTTTCAAATATAATGGACAAGATATTTGGTGACAGAGTTATTCATAAATTATCACTGCCAATAACACCAAGTACTATGTACTAAGCAACAAGCTAAGTGCTTTACATCCTTTCTATTCAAAACAAAGTCCAGGGCCGGGTATTTGGCTTGGTTGTTCTGCCACCTGCCTTGCAAGTGGAAGGCCCTAAATTCAATCCCTGGTATCAAAAATAAAGAAAAATATAACAACAAAAAAACAAAGTCCATACATAGATCACCAACATCCAAGTCACCTGGAAGCAGATTAGAAAGGGAGAATCCTGGGCATTACTACAGATATGCAAAACCAGGTCTGCATTTTAACAAGTTCCCCCAACAATTACTATGCATGTTAAACCTGAGAACATATAGTCAACTTTTTCAGTCCTTACTAAAACCCAGTGATGTTGCATATCTAACAATAGTGCTTTAAGTTACTAATTTAACCATTAATGATCATCTGTCTCTCATTACCTACTAAACTACAGAAGAGAAAGAGGATGCATTTGTATGCATTAATCTATACAAATTTACATATGGACTACATTCCACTTTCTTATTGGTCTTCATCCTGTCAATTTTATCTTTTAAAAAAATGTACATGGATTTCCAAGTAACTAAGAACAGAGAAGACAGGTACACAATACAAATGCTAGACAAAGGAAACAGTCAATTTATTAGAGGGGGGAAAAAAAGGAAAATAGCAAACTCCTGTAGCAGAAGCTGGACCTAGACATAATCAAAGATTATATCCCTGGGCCGGGGATTTAGTTCAGTGGTGCCACCGCCTGCCTCAAAAGTGCAAGGACCCAAGTTTCATCCCCAGTACCAAAAAAAGGGGGTGTGTGTGTGTGTGTGTGTGTGTGTGCGCTGAGGATTTAGTTCAGTGGCACCGCACCTGCCTTGGAAGTGCAAGGTCCTGAGTTCGATCCCCAGTACCACCAAAAAAGATAATATCCCATGGCTCCTAATGCTCATTACAGTCCCGGTCCCTAATATCTTACACAAAACTCTTGATAGGCATCCCATACCTATAGATTCCTACCATCCCAGTAAGCAAGAGCAACTTTGTGTCATAAAAAAGAAATAATAATAATAATAATAAAAGAACTAAAGTACAATCAGAATAGCTTCTCAGACCAGGAATAACCTTTACTTTCCCAGATACAGCACAGCAGTAACAATCTGCTACTCCTGCATGACTGTCCCTATGAGATATGGCATCCCAGGAAATCATTCAGTCCAAGAATGGCAGTTGACAATACAGATTTAGGGTGGAGAGGGATTGTTAGATGAGGGGAAACCAATGGCAAGAAACTGGAGTCAACCGCTGATTAGCTGAAGGCATGAGATCTAAACAAGAGAGTATATATTCATTGAGAGATCACTACAGGGGCCAGGGATGTAGCTCACTGGCACAGTGCCTGCCTTACAAGTGCAAGGTCCTGAGTTCGATGAGCAGTACACATACACACACACACACACACACACACACAATCACTGCATAGTCTACAAAACTTTATTAAAATTGAGGTTATTTACAAGCTATATAATAAAAATACATAAGACATCATTATTTTACAAAAAGATGAAAATGAGACCCATGGCAAGGAGCCGTCCCTGATGATTTCATTCCTTACAAACATCTATGAACATTTATTTTAAATATAAATGACAAATCTTTTATCTAAACACTAAGGCATTACCCACGGCTAAAATTTACCCAGTAACTTCTAGCCCTGTTATTTCAACATCAATTCCATACACATGGAAAACTGTGGCAATTGTAGTCTGTAGCAGTTTCTTAAATTCACATTATGAGCTGCCTGTTACATTAACAGAATGTGTATGCTGTAGGCAAGTTCAAAGAAAGAGTTCACTATTTTCAAGTAGTCATCAAGAGTGTGAGAGAGGAAGATGACAGGAGATGGGGGAGTCCAGACCTCCACCTTTTGGGGAGTCTGTGTGACCACTCACAGCCCCACCTAAGCTGTGACACTGGCATGAATCTGCTTTATTCCCAGCAGTCTCTGCCTCCTGACACATAAGGCACTAGACACCCTTTTCAAGGCAGTTAACTATATAGAACCCAACTCAATGAGCAGCCTGAAACCATAAGTTGTCACTAAGATAGCACTGGGTCCCAGTTAGTTGCATTGGTTCCCCTTTTAAAAAAAAAAAAATCAATTCTGCCACATGAAAAACAAGAATGTCCAGGAGCATCTGCCTTGTGCAGTGGTTACTTCATATTTATTACTTGGTTCCAGTGCCTATACAATGAAAGAAAACAATATATCTATCCAACTCTCCTCTTCTCAGTCCAGACGTAAGTCCTCCCATTTCAATACAGGTTAGTATCTCAGACCTTAGTGCAAAGGAATACTAGGATTTTTTATTTCCTTTCCTACTACTTCAACTTTCACCATTCAATTCTAAAGAGTTATAAGTACAGGGCCAGGAACCATTTTTAGACAGGCATCCATTTGAGCCCATCTTTTCAATTTTTCCAGAACAACTACATAATCCATTCCCAAGCCTTTTATGGACATTGGGGCCTGGGAGACTATCTATTATTTAGGTCCTTTCATTCATCAAATCTCCATCTTAAGCCAGGCGTGGTGGCACACACGTGTAATCCCAGCAGTCAGGAGGCTGAGGCAGGAGGAACGCTGTGAGGCTACAGTGAGCTCAAGGCCAGCCCAGGCTACACAGTGAGTTCAGGGCCAGCCTGAACTACATAGTGAGAACCTATCATTAAAAAAAAAAAAAAAAAAAAAAAAAATCTCCATCCTAATGCCAACTAAGGACTGGGTTAAAGGGACACAACTGATGAAGAAAAGGGCCTGGGTGCTGGAATGGGATGCATTATTATAAAAGGAACAGTGGGATCCAAAGTGCTACTATCAGTAAAATTCCCTTTGTAACAGACACAAAAAAGCACAAATTTGGGGAGAGAAATGAACTGGTTTTGGTATGGTGCAGTAACTGACAGAAATTTCTTATTAAAATGTATCAAATAAGGACCCAAGTTCAATCCCCAGTATCAAAAAAGAAAAGGTATCCAAGTTGTTAAATGTATTTTTGGTTTTGGTCTTTATGTTCCGTTCCTGTCATGAAAACCACCTGAGTAGGAAAGTGAAAGAAAAATATTTTAGGCCGGTTGCCTCTTATACTCCCATTAATGGGAAGCATGCTCTACACAACTTGGTCAGACCAATTAGAAATAATAGATTTCCAATGCTGATGAGATCCTAAGCTCTCAGGCCAATTTATGGCTTGATATTTGTCTAGCAAGACGCTGACGTGGCAGCAGACATGGCTCCAATGTCCAGCTCACCCCCCAGTTATCCCTTCAATCCTTCCTGATGAGATCAGTCTGAAACGAGACTATGCTGAAATTGCAATAGCTATAACTGCCAGGGAAAATTAAATAGGGGCTTCAAGTAGTGACTGAGCCAGCAGACTTAAGTGGCCAAGAGGGAGACAAGAGCAGCTCCTAAAGGTTTACAGAGTCAAGCAATCTCCGGGCACACTGAAACATCTGGGCAGAGCCACACAGGCAGGCTGGAAAAGGACAGAGCACACTGAGCAGGCACTGTCCTTCACTGTCTGAGAGCAATGCTCATGTTGCAGCAGGAATTGTCATCTCCACCACCTGAAGCTGTTCTCCAATTACCAGACAGGAAGTAATAAAATGAATTTGATTTTACTCACCCCAAATTCAACACAGTGAAGAAAAAAAAAAAAAAACTAGTCTAGAAACTGTATTTCACAAAGAATTTACTACACAGAAAAGGAGAATATTTCTCAACGTCACAATGGCTTCTTACTGAAATAAAGACATGAACCAGGAAATGTCACTCTGGAGGCAAGCTACCACTTCCCTAAGACATTTGGGGGAAGGCACCAATGTCTCCAGAGATAGTGAGACTTTTGTACAGTTAAATTATTTTTCCAAATTAATTTATACTGAAAAATGCTAAGTCTCAAATTTCTAAAATAACATCAAAAAGCGTCTAAAATAATGTCACAGGATTGGGGGGAGGAGGAGTTATGGGCTGGGGTTTAAACCCAAGGCCTTGTGCATTTTAAGCAAGTGCAATACCACTGAGCTATAACTCCAGTCCCTCAGATGTTTTAATAGTTCTTTGTAGAAGGACAAAATTTTAACATGCACATAATTCACAAAGGGATAAAGGCTTCCCAATATAGAGTTCTTTGTATTCTGCAACTTTAACCTACAGTATCTATCAAATACTATTCATCTTTCTCTTTCTACTCCCTTTCTGCCAATTGAGGTAGTTGTCACTTTAGAACAGTTAAAGGCTATGGGGGAACAATGGTGGAAATAATCAGCCAGCCACCTGGTTGGGAGTCTCAGAGCTGACATTTCAGAAGTCAGCATCAGAGCCCAGGATCTTTCAAAATTACATGCTAAGTGGCTGGTCTGAATGAGTTATAACAGCTTTTTAAAAATTCATCTTCCTTCTCTATGATTACGGTAAGTCAGAAAGTCCAATGCTATGCACCTGCCATGAATATCTACCTTCCTGGCTAAAGGAATAATAGCTTTCCCCAAAGTACAAGGGTGAAAAACTATAGAGAAAGAACCAAGCAAATGACAGATACTTGGGAATCTGCTCCCTCATAAATGTTATTGCTGGCCTGTAAGAGTACTTTACAAAGGTAAAAGAATGTAAAACTAAGGCCACTCTAAGACAACGTAAATCTCTGGTCAGAAATGGAATTGAAAATAATAATAAATTCGTAAAAAAATATGTCTGATACTGATGGCTGAGTGAGCATCCAGAGGCATGAAGATAACCTAGAGGTCTATTTCCTGGCAACGCAAATTGGGGTAGCTACAAGCTACAAATATGTACCAAGAAACTTCATACATGGTTTCAGGCTTACAAATTAGCCAGATTTGGGGGAGTGTAGGTGGTCAAGAAGGCTGAAAGAATAGAAGAGTACATAAAGCAAGGCAGACAAAAGGGTAGTTTCTTCCACAGTAACTCAAAGACATGTGACCCAGTGACAAGAAAAAATGGGGTAAAAAGGAGCACTTCTGGCCAACAGAAGGGATGGGGGATAAGAAATGAGACATACTCTGAATTTTACACACCCCACAGGTGACGGAATAAACCTTTCCTGAAAGGAAAAAGGAGAGCAAGGAAGAATAGGAAGAGAAAAATGCAAATGTATTTTTAAGATACAATTAAATGTGGCCAGGGACTAAGCCCAGTGGTTCCGTCACCTGCCTTGCAAGCGCAAGGTACTGAGTTCAATCCCTGGTACCAAAAAAGAATTAAAGGTGGAATATAATAAAAAGCCCAAGAGACTTCACATGCAGAACAGCCTACAGGTAAATTTCCTCAAAGCAAGTAGGACTCAGAATATACATGTGAGAACTAATTCAAAGCTCAACATAATACCTCCTGGGGCTTTAATGAATAATCTATATTAATAAATATCTAAGGGCCAATAGGCCTTGTCACTCTGGAGCACCTGCTTCTTTTGGAATATGAGTTTGTTGTCTTTAAAAATATATTTGTTTAAAAAAACAAGACAGAAGTCAACTCTTCCCAAAGGCAGTTAAATAAGAGATTATTCTAAAGTCACTGAAATAAAAGCAGAAGTAAAGGAGGCTCAGATTTGTGGGTTTCTCTTTGGCAGATGCAGGTTATGGCCTGAAAGCATTACTGCACTTACAACAATTCTCACTTTGTAGTTCCAGCCATGGTGACAGAAAGGTCATGACTGAACCAACTTTCATGAGGAGCTAGAATGCCATGCTGGCTGTGGACATCCAATTTCTTGGGAACAGAAAAATGGGCTGATAGCTTAACCAGTGGGAAGTGAACTACGGCAACATTCACTGCTTTTCCCATTCTTCTTCCTCAGGGATCCCACAGAGGCCACCAAGACCACTCCCAGAGGGAGATCTTTCAAGCCTCTCATTTCAGTGAGAGAAACTCTGCATTATCCCTCAGCCTGCTACAAAGGCCTAGAAGAACTGCACAGCACTTACAACATGGACCACCAAGGCACCAAGCCTACATGAAAATAAAAGACTACTCTCTAAGTGAGGAAGTTGTTTTGTGTGGCAGAGGGGCATGGAGAATCCGAATCTTCCTCCTCAGAGAATGCTTCCTCATCCAGGGCAATAATGCTCCCTAATCCATACTCCTGCTCATGGACAGAAACTTCATTTGGTGTGAGGTGGAAAGAGCCTTCCACAAAATCAGCAAATCTGGAAAAGAGAAAGTAATATTCATTAGCAATCTGTCTTTTATCCTTGTAATTGTCTTTCAAGATAAGAACAAATTGAAATGCTTGATATGCTCATAGTTCTAATTTTATTGAGTCAAGCCAACATGCCCTACTCTGGCAGGTACATAGACTAAAGCAAGGAATAGGGAAAAAAAGTCTGGGATCATAGGCCAATGTCCCCTGAAACTCTATCTAATAAGCACTAGCCTGTCCTTAATAAGCACTAGTTATGGAAATGCTAAGGTTCCTCGAGTCATCATATCCTGATAAGAGAAGATTAAGGGTATTACAGAGTTATTTGTGTTTATGGTACTATAAACTTTATGCTGTCAGGATTCCAAATTGCATCTTCACATACTATATTACCAACTAAAAACCAGAAAAGAAAAACCCACTCAGCAATGTAAAACCTGCAGAGAGGGGTAACTTAATATGATGCTGGAATCTTCCCATCTCAATGCTTCAGTAAAAGCTAGAGCAGGTAGTTCCTTGGAGAAACAGGAAATGGACTATTGCTTAATATATGCTATAGATAGCTCTCTCTTGAGCACTCCTGGGTTAACAATAAACAAGGGTCACAAATACAACAAAGTTATCTAGGGTCACAGTGACCTTGAGAGATCTTGGTTTATCTGGCCAAAAGTTTACCTTTTTGGAAACTGGATCCGAGAAATGGTCTTCCAAGGTGAGCAGTCTGGACTGTTACAGAATGTTCGGAGCTCTTCTAAAGCCTTTTGGGTCTCTACCTCTCCTTGTATCCGATACTCTTCTTCTGTCAGAAGACGAGGGGGGACAGGATTTTCTCTTGCCTTATACATCTTTCTGTGCTCACCAAAATAACATCATGAATCATTAATCAGTAATCTATATCCATCCTCATCTCTAGCTCCATTCAGTGAACCAAGCATATAGCAGCCAGTCTGAACATTAGTCATCACTCCCATCTTTATTCCATATACATCTTCAGTTACAGTGGACTCCTTTTAGTGAAGTTATAGTAGTCAATGTTGTATACTAATGTGAATAAATTCACTTATTTTCCAATAAATGACAAACAATATATTTATTTTCCAATAAATGGGAAAAATGACAAAACAATCTTTTTTTTGGGTTTTTTGAGACAGGGTCTCACTTTGTAGTTGAGACTGACCTGGAACTCACTATGTAGCCCAGGCTGGTCTCGAACTCACAGCAATCCTCCTGCCTCAGCCTCCCGAGTGCTGGAATTACAGGCATGCGCCACCACACCCGGCTATAACAATCTTATAATACTGTGATCCATTGATTTGGTTCCTCAAACTGAAGGTATCACTTTGACTATCTGCAACAGAACAACCAATAAAAATCTCAAAATCCATGACCATTCCATTCTCAATATAAAAAGTGATAACATGCTATGAATTACATCTTAAAATAAGACTAGCACTTCCAAAGCAATCTGAAAATCAGGGTTAAATAATCTTGAACCAGCTAACCTGAGGCCTATGGTGTAAGTGATATAGTGTGCACCACCTAGTGGTAATAGGAATTCATGACACTTCACTGGATGCTTGTATATAAAATGACTAGAATAAAAATTATAAAAAGCCTACAGCGTCTAAACAAATAGGAAGGAAAAAAGGCAAAAGCATAACACAATAATTTCTCACTAACAAAGAGGATCCCAGGACCACACCTTTGTATCCTTTTGCTGTAAACTGCATCTCATAGTGAACATGTCAGCACAGTTACATTGCCTTTCAGTCACCTGTAGGTGATGTACAGCCACTGAATAGGATACTCCAGATTCTTAGTACACAGTGCAATGATGATAATGCCAAGGGCAACGTGCGGTATCTGGATGCCAGAATACATGAAACCCAGGCCCATCAGCTGCAAGGTCCAAGTCAGCAAGTTGATACTTCGTTCATTCTCCAAGGGACCATATTTGTAACATACTGCAAAACTCATGAATCCAACTGTGAGGATGTAGCCTATGAGAAGAGTTATCACAAGACATTCTTTTTTATCTATGTCTAGCGTAGACACAGATAAAATAATAAATAATCTTCACAAGAAGTAGCAATAAATTCTCTATATACCATCTGTTGAACCAAGAAATTGAACAAGTCATTTACTCAGTTACTCATACTTTTTTCATTAGGAGAAATGTGTAAATGGATACAGAAAGACACATGCACAGACACACATACACGCATATATAGTTAAGTTTCTAGCCTTTGTTATCAGAAACTTATTTAATTCAAATGGAGCATTAAAGCTCTATGTTGAGTAATTCTGAAAGTGTATTTTTAAAGTCTAAAATATGAAATAGAGATGAATGACTTCTCAAATAATACACCAAGGGCTTTTATTCTCATGACCGAAGAATCTTATTCTGCAGATAAGATTCACTACAATCTTCACTTCTTAAGGTTCTCAAGTATATTTAAATTATGATTATGTTAATAGTCAATATATGGTTTTTCAGGCAAATGCTTATTATGTAAACAGAAATGTCTTTATAAATACCAAAAAATTGAAGTCTCCTTGGCAGCAGCATTTTAATATTTTTAAGTAATAATGGTATTAGAAATAAATGGAAAATTGATTTTTGCAAATTAATCAAATATCTTTAAACTATTAACTCCTTGTAAGTAGGCAACATCTTTTCCTGGTCAAACTAACTAAAACAGCCTATAACATGCAAAATAGAAAGCAAAATTGATAACACTTACTTAAAAGATATTGCCAGTAACTCTTCCAGATCTCTTGTAAGTTCTTAAAAACTAGCTGAATGAGGTACAGAGAAAAGGACCAGCCTCCCACCAGGATGACATAAATGGGAGTTTTCTAAAACACAGAGTAGAAGTGAAAGCAAAAAATTACAAGACTTTCCATACAAAAAAGAAGCAAAATGGAACTATGATTTTTTTCTTAAAATTTAACCTACTCAAAATGCACATATTTAAAATGATGTCCTTTATATGTAAAAAGGTACAGTTTGCAAGGAACACTGGAAAAATGAGATGCTAAATAACTTAAAAACCTAGTTATGTCATTAGAAAACAGATTGACTTTAATCCCCACTGAGCACAGAACTTTAAAGAGTTTATATGCAATCAGGTTCCAGTTTCATAATGGAAAGTACCTTTCAGAATCAAGAAAAGAGCAGGGCATTCACTCATTAGCCATCACTGCAAACCGTCAGTGTTCTAAGATTATTCAAGTTAATCCTAACTGCATATGAGAAAGATTCTGCCACTTACCTTTGGCATAAACTTGGATAGTATAAAAATGATGATTAGGAGAGAGGCCACAACTCCCACACTCATCCCAGTGGAATAGTAGAAAACCTGACTCCTGTGACAGAAAATTTATTTTATGATTATAGGTGTATACTTCATACACAGCTGAAACTAGGACTAACCTAGCCAAAAGATTTTAAAAGTTTTATTAGTCATGTTTACAGTATGTGATTACATTCATCATGGGGTACATGTATATAGCACATCTTAATTATTTTTTATTTCTCTTTCCCCTCCCCTCCCTCCATCTCTATGATTCCCTTTCCATTTGTAAAAGATCTCTGTCTCCTACTACTGTATTAGTATCCTATCTTGTATTTTGGTCAAGATTTTCTTAAAGGTACAAATTAGAGCAAATATTTGCCAAGAACCTGAGTTCAGAGAACTGTAGAAATGGATACAATGTAGCTGTTGCCAGATTGTAAAATTAGTATCAATTAGGTCCCCTCAAGTGTATCCCAAGCATAAACCCCCTTCCATCCCCAATCTCTCTCCCAACCTGTTTTTTGTTTTCTAGCTTGTTTTGTTTTTAAATTTTGAGACAAGATCTCACTAAGTTGCCTAGGTTGGGCTCAAATTTGTAGTCCTCCTGCCTGAGCCTCCCAGAGAACTGCGATTACAGGATGCACCACCGTGCCAAGCTCCAACCCAAGTTTTAGTAAGAATATTTCTTCTAAAGAACTGCTCAGCTTCTCTGGGAAGAAAGAAAGCAAGAATACTGCTCAAGTAGAGATTAGAAACTGGAACTGAATTGTCTACCCAGAAAAAATAAACAAATCTTTTATGAGTCGACAACAGCAATTCAACTCCCATTCCATACTGTTTCTAACTCATTATTTCTTTGTTACTGTGTTCTTTCAGAACCTCCAATACAAGGAAGAGCTACCTCAAATCCCCCTTCAGCCAAACTTCAAATTCCAATTGTTAATTGTTCATTCACTACTCCACAACTACTCTTTTTACTTGTACAATGTTTTGTTTTTGTTTCTTCCAGGGATCCAACTCAGAACCTTGCATTTGCCAGGTAGGCACAGTGCCACTGAGCTACATCCCCAGCCCTGATTAATGTTGATTCTACCTTCATTCAGTGTTTGCTTAGTTGTCTACATGTTTTCTTCATATTTGAACATGTCAGTTTCATCTATCCTTGCTAATAGGTTCCTAAAGGAAGGAAATGAAAATAGAGATGTTTATCTCCTTACATCTAAACACAATCTGGCAGCAATTACATTCTATCAGTCTCTGCAGTAACACATTACTTCTAACAGTAGAAAAGGTGGTGATAGCCAACTTCATAGTACACTGGCTAAATCCAGTTAATCTTGATGACTCCCTAATAAAGGAATTTAATTAACAATATTATTAAAATCAGAAAAAAATCATAATACATATTAATGTATTTTTTAAATATCTAAGCAGACAATACCCAAGCCATAAAGGTCCTAGGAGAGAGAATGGCAATACTTACAATTTTTATGATAAAGAACTACGGGTATGAAAGAGCTTTGCCATGGTACACACTAGCCTGGGAACCTACCTGCTCAACAAGTCTCCACAAAAAAACAGTACAAGTCCAAGGAAGAAAATGAGGAAGAGCTTGGGGTCAAATCCTGAAGTAAAGAAAGACATTTGCTTAACCAAACAGTTTAAGGGATTATAGAATAAAAAGCAATGTTGGCCTATGGGTTGGGTACAGTAAAACAGTAAATTCCACACAAAGCCTGGTCATCCTTCCAAAGAGAAAGTATAACTAGGTCTCTGTCTAACCAGTACTTTCCTGAAGATCTTATTTTTATTTTGGCTACCTATGTTCTAAGCTTCACTTTGGAACAAGCTACATATTGCCATCAACATTTCATGAAATTGTCCACAAGGGGTCTCCACTACTCTGGCTTTTAGGCCTAAACCTCACTGGCAGGGAATTCAAATTTGCCTAGAACTTTGGGTCAGGACCTCATGCTGTTTTCTGACTTTTTTGGCCTAATAATATTACCCACTTTCCTTTGCTACACAGCACAGAAGTTCTGGAAAAACTTATCTACCCGCCAAACATCTCACCCAGGACCAGCAAAGCCACGCAAAGGCCCCTTAGTGGCATTACCAGAGACTCTGGTATCTTTTACACCTGGAGTTATGTGTTTAGGGGAGGCCAATAGACAAGAGCAAGATAAATCAATAAAAATAGAAGAAACACAAAAAACAAGCCAACCCTACACAACTGTGGAAACCTAGGACAAATAGAAGGGCATAACCACATGTCTACTACTCATGTATCTGTGACTCCTACGACCTGGGTAATAACCATAAAGAAACCAAGTCAGAGAGAATTCAACACAAACTACCTGCTCTAAAACTTTCTCAGACACCTTCAGAGAAGGAAAAACTTTTCCCACTTCCACTGAACCCAGGCTTAACCTGCAGCAGTCCTCACCTTTACTTATGGTTCCACAAGTATTTTCTACCCGTGAATTACTAATATTCAATTTACCTTTCCTAAGTTTTTATTGTTTAACTATTCATGTCTTGAAATGCAGGGCTGCTGCCTTTGTCTAGGAGTATTCAGAACACATGAACACAACTAGCTGGTTACTCTAAAAAGAGTGGGCATTATTAGCTCCAAGCCACAGGCACTGTTAGGAACCTTCACATCTCAAAGCAAGGAGTTGTTGGAATAGCAAAGGTGAAGTCTTGATTTCTAGGCCTAAAGAGTCTGATGTAGGATGGAGTCACTAAACTGGAGCCACGGTGTACTCAGGGTTATAATCAGAACCAAAATGGAGCTGTCTTAGGCTTACTTGTCTGTCTCGCTAATTACACCCTCCAGAGCTCAGTGCCTACTCACTACAGAATCCATCAGAAAAACAGAGATGAGACTTACTCCGGGTCACAATGACACTGTACTTGGTGTCCTCTATAATCTCAACTTTGAGGCAGGTTTTTGTGCTGTACAGACCCACGTTAACATAGGTGTCATTCAATTTCTCTTTTAAAAAGGAGGAAACAAAGTTCCAGATACTAAACTGCTCTAGCTCCTTCAGTTTCTCCTCATTGTCCACCTGGGTGACTCGAACCAATTTGGAACTATTTACCCGGATCTGTAATACAAGTAAAATCAGAGTAAGAAAGAAAGAAGTAGGAATTTAAAATTTTCACAAATATAATTTTTTAAACCCCTAAAAGTAAATAGCTGAATCAGTAATGGTGCCAGTTTCCACAAGGCTTCTCAGAAATACACTCATGCAGCAGCTAAAACATAATTGGACAAATAACACTGCACATGGTACAGAGGCAGCTGTTAAGAGTATATTTTTGTTAACATGATCTGAATCCACGATTAGGGCCGAGCATAGGAGAGAAAAGACTCTCAGGATGCAAGTTATCAATACAGCTATTTATGAGACGAACAATGCAAAGGCCTAGAATATTAAGAAAATTGCCAGTCATAAATAGCCCCAGAAAACTGAAAATGTTTCCCATAATGACAGGCTGAGGAGTTCAACCCATTGTCACAAATCACTGATTATGGGTAAATGTTGTTATAATGTACCCCAGATGAAGTATGATTTTGTATCAGACAATAAAAAACAAGAATTAAAAAAACATAAGCCTATTCTTAGGTTTTTGATGTGAACAACAAATATCCTTGTCTGTAACCATACTTATAGAAGCAGCAACGTTTCCAAAAGAGCTCATTTAGTTCAATCACTATTACAGCCAGACACTCTTGCTTACAGGGTGACTTAACAATGTTATTAAATAAATGAGATGTATGTCCAAGAGGAAATTTCAGTTCAGGGGTTTTATGAACCATCTCATGTAGAATCAAAACAGAACAGAAGCAGCAAAGCACTAGGTACAGTGGCACATGCCTATAACTCCAGTACTCTGGGAGGCTGAAGCAAGAGGATCATAAGTATGAGCCCAGCCCCCGGGCAATTTAGCAACTTAGCAAATTTTAAAAGTAAAGGACGGAACATGTAGCTTATTGTGAAGGCCCTGGGTTCAATCCTCAGGACTACCAAAAAATGCAGCAGCAGCAGCAAAGCAAGAGTTTATACCCTGATAGGCACAATACAATTTCCAGTCCAAAGAAGGTATAAGGCCTTAAAGAAGAGAAATGTGAGTGTGCATGCACGTATGTTTGTGTGTATGCACACTGCAAAAGGAAGATTAGAAAGAGAAGCATATACTTTCTTTGGGAAAGGGAGAGAGGAAGGAAGAAAGAATGCCTCAGGATCGCAGTATTGTAAAGCTACATGAAGGAGCTGAGACACCCCTGTGAGGGGCTTCCAAATTATTACCTGTATCCGGGTCCATATATCATGCCACTTTGGGATAAGCACATTTTTATAACAGAATTGTGTGCTGGTATTCATATCACAAACTTGGGATTCCTGAAGCATGATCACATTTCCATCAATTCCATCTTTACACAAAGAAAAGAAACAAGAATTAAACATGAGAACAAGCTAATAACTACAACTCATTTCATTAAAAGAATTAAACTGAACACTTTCTTAAACTTGGGGCTAAATATCAGCCAGACTGAAAAATAAGAGAAAAAAATTGAAACAAGAAAAGAAATAAGGCAGAGTCTTTACTTCCATCCAGTTAATGGACATGTATGCGTGCTCCGGATTGAGCCCTGGGCCTTGAACACACTAAGCACATACTCAACCACAACCCCCAACCCAAGTTTATTTAAATATTATAGTCATTACTTGAGAATAAGAAAGAAGAGTCACTATTAAGTGTTTATTAACATGGACAGTATGCTGTTCCACTTAACCCTCCAAACAATGCAATGTTAGGCATCTTCATAATCCCTAATTAACAAGTGAGGAAACTGATGTCTAAGAAACATTAACTTATTCACCCAAACTTACATGGCTAGTAAATAGCCTCTGAAATTCACACCTAGTAAGATAGTCTACCTCTCTGAAAAGCTCTCATAACAGGATAAAGTAAACTATAGTAATCCCATCTGTTGATTTTCTCTCTCTCCCCTGAATAGGATGAAAAGGACTGTCAGTGGGTTTTTTTGCCTAATCCTGTTTGCTTTGTTTTTTAAGTAGTACTTTAAGAAGGTACTAAAAGGACTGCAAAGCTGCTGTTTGTTCTAGCTATTTTATTTCAGATTTTAAGAGCAGCCAATGATCATATTCAGTCACTGTGATTTACCAAAACAGAAGGTTCTCCCCAGTCTGTATTCACTCTTAGCTAATTCTGTGTTAAGAACAACCACTCTCCTATATTTCCCCACCCAAATTTGCCCAGGTTTTCTTTTTTTTTTAACAATTTAAATAATTTCTTCCCTTTTTTCCTTCACACATGGTAGGCAAGTGATATACCACTGAGCTACATTCCCACCCTAATGACTTCTTCCTTGACTTCTACATTAAGCATACCAATTAATCAAATGCTACTAAATGGAAATTCAGTTATCATTTTGTTTCTCAGCATAAAAAAAGACAGATTTAAATAAGCTAAAAAAACAAAACAAAAAATCACCCAAATCTTAAAGACCAAAGTTACATATAAAAAAAGATACTAATGCCCACCAGTCCAAAATGGTTTTAGGGTAAAATTAAGAGTCATTCTGGGGGACTGGGGATGTAGTTCAGTAGTGCCACTGCCTGCCTTGCAAACACAAGGTCCGGGGGTTTGATTCCCAGTACCCCCCCAAAAGTCATTCTGGAGCCAGGGATGCTCCAGAATGCTCAATGGCTGCTTGTCTCAAAAGCTCAAGGTCCTGAGTTTGATCCCCACAAAAAAAAAAAAAAAAAAAGTAATTCTGAAATTAAATTTAATCTTAGAGTGACATGTAAAAGCAAAAACTATAAAGCTTTTTAAAAAGCACAAATGTAAATCTTCATGACCTGGGGTTAGGGAATGTGCCACTATACCAGGGTAAAATCTAATGTTTCAAATCAGCAAAGGTAAAAAGACATCTCTCTGATGCAGATGAATACAACACTGAGATTCCACCTCACCCCACAGAGAATGGCTGCTATCA